ATCATATAATAAGTATAAAAAACAAGTATATATTAACCATGCAAGAATTCTCATAAATTAGTATAATAGAAATTACCAGAAATTAATAGAACTTAGCCAAAAATAGCCACTAATTTCTATAAAATATTATATTTACCAAGAATTATCATAAATTATTATATAATAAAAATTACCAGAAATTAATAAAACTTAGAATGATAATTAGTTTAAATTATCAAATAATATGAACCTAAATAAATTATCAAAAATTGCTTTTCATTTTAGAAAGAGAGACGTGACGTCAAATATATATTGGAGACTTCCTTATCATGGACTTTTCCAGAATCCAGCTATATTGGAGTCTTGACAGCCTGCTCTATAATCTATATATCCACCAACAGGATTCCTCGCTCTTATAGATTCCGCCCATTAAAAGTCAAAGGCAAGAGTTGGAGGAAATTAAATCAAAGTAATTGGGTTGTTATTCTAATTCTATAAATATCCTTATTCGCCCATTAAAGGGCAACATCTTGGCCTTGGTGCCAAGCCTAACTTCGGTTGTTGGGTCAAACTCGGATCTCTACCTTTATATACTCTTTCTAACACCTGGCATACATGCRTGCATGAACTACAGTCTACAGAATGGCCATATTATTGATTGTTCATGCGCCTGTGCAACAGAACAGACAGAGAGAGCGAGAGAGATACCTCAGTGACTCTAATGCTATTCTTTTTCTTTGTTTCAATGGAGATTGATTACCCTCAGGTCGGATCGGGCGATACGTACGTCTACAGAACTGTACTCCGTGCATGCATGACATTGTCCACCCGCTGTAGGAACCATGCACTAATATTCCTAATTAAGCTCCGTTTGGGAGGGCTTCAGCGTTGATTAAACTGTTTCAATTATTAGCTTATTGAAAGTAGCTTCATTGAAAAGGAGAATATATATAGGAAGCAGGAATTGAGTAGAATAGGAAATAAGCACCGAAAGATGATCATATGAGATGGGATGGGACCCCACAAAACAACATTGCAAAATGGAAACTAGTGGCAAGATATAAATGCGCCATCATCCCCATAATGTCACTTTGTTTAAACTTTTCCATTAAAATAATAATGTTGAGATAGGTGAGTAGGTTTATCTAAGGCGGCCTGCAATTTAGTTTCTTCCATTTGATGATAGATGATCGATCGATCATGGTTAATAAAGTTTGGAGGGTTAAAAAATGTTTTAATTCTTTACTTCTTCTACATGTAATGTAAGCAGCAGATTCATTCCATCCAAAGATGCCAAGAGGGAAGCCCAAAGTCAATACATATAGATTAGTGAAAGGAGATGGGATGGTCAGACAGGATTTCATGTTTGAATATGTTGAGGGTGGGCCGTGGGCGGAATAAGGAAATGAGATTTGATGATTAGAATTTATTTATTTATTTTTTTTAAAAAAAAAAACAGGAATAGGACATAGAAGACAAAGATGACAGTTAAGATGTTAGGATAGAACAAGGCAAGGGTCAGGTCAGGAGAGACATGGAGGGACATAATTCCATTACCAAATTGTCCTTTCTAGGGCCGGGACTCGTGCAATGGAGGTTGGAGAGGTATAAGCATATATGCATGTGCACTAGTGAAACCAGCGTATCTGAAAATCCTTGCTAAGTTTGGCCATTCCATAAGAGGCAGTAGTTTGACAGTCCTTTCGTATATAATGGCTAGAGTTCCACTTTAGATTAAAATTGGATAAGCGTTTGTTGCAACATTATTTTCCTTTTGTTTGTCCTCTCCATTTAGCTTGATTTGGCTTTGCACCTCACGTGGCCAAGGTTTTTTATTTGCTATATATGTGGATATATCAGTTGCTCATAAATTGGTATGTTTTACAGATTTAACTTTTTTGTTATAGGTGTAATGTGGGCTGTGCCGGGCCGGCATGACCCACTATTTTCGTGCCATCTGCACTGTAGAGGGTTGAACCGGCGCAGCATGGCCACTGTACCAGGCCGTTCTGGCATGGCATTATATTGAAGGGAGGGGGCCCTGCACAAGCCCAGCCCACAGCCCATGGGCCCATGCTACACTGGCCCTGCCCGTGGGCTGGTACCATTTTTCTTTTTTCTTTTTTTTTTTTATTTATTACTGTTATTATTTATGCAAAATATATACATTTATATCATTACATGTCATTAATATTAATATTATATATTAATGTGGGCTGTGCCGGCCCATGGGTCTCAAATCACAAATTGATAGGCCTTAGGCCAGGTTATTGGTTTGGTATTCAGGGAATATGAGAATGAGTTAAACACGGCAATAATTTTCTTCATAGGGGATTAATGTAATATATCTTCCAAAAACCAGAATACCAGCCAAGAAGTTGAACTAGCCAGATGGCAAATTCCTGAGCCCTGGTCAGATGGTTCAACTAATATTTATCACCACCTCATCACTCTAGCGTTATGAAACTAAGTAGCATTCAGTTGGTTTGTAATAATTGTAATAGGATTGATTGAGGAGTTAATAAGCAAGAGCTAGCCAAACAAACAAATTTCAAGGGAACCGTATTATCAATCCTTGGATGCGCAAAGCAAGAACTAGGAAATATTAGTTGGATGCGCCCAGGAATGATGAACATATATCATTTCAAGGGAACCGTATTATCAATCCTTGGATGCGCAAAGCAAGAACTAGGAAATCGACCTGTATCAATTCAACCAAAACACCTTCCTTTGAGAGGCAGGCATCTCTAGCTGCCAGCCCTCCCATAGCCATAGCGAAGGTGACCTTCGTATGTTACATTATGTTATCAGTCTCCATCTTGATTTCTTCTTTTAGTGAGGCAAATTAAAAATCAATTTATTTAAGCAAATAGGGCGTAATTTGTCCTATTACAACATCACGCGGGATCGAAGCAAGTTCATCCTGAGGATGTGAAGAAAAATAAATAAATGAAAGATGCCACTGAGCAAAGCAGTCGACGTTGCTAGTCCCTTGGTACTTTGGTAGCAGACCGCGAGAGACAAAGTTAATACGATTGGGTCCATTCCTTGTAGGTGGTAGCTGTGGGCACTCTTTGTTCCAGACTTCAACTCTTGAAAGGTGTATCAACAGTGATGATCAGAATCGATCGAGATGTATAATTTGTATCAAATTACGTCTCCTGGGCAATTAAGAAAAAACAATTCTCAAAGTTCTGAGTTATAGAGTTCAAAAGCAAAAGTAACAATCTCAAATTCCCCATTAGAAAAGGTATACTTCTGTAGATATGTTTGCCTCTGGACTCTGGTTTAATTCAATCACTAATATGCCAAGCTGAATTAAGTAGAATTGTCATAACTTGTGATTATCAAGAGAACAAATTTGATGATGTTGTCAAAAGTAGGTTTCTTAATTCTTAATTAGACCGAACTCCTTTACAACTTTTCATAAGATATTTTACAAGTAAATATTAATAAAAAAAAATGTGTGTATTTGATCGTAGGCCTAGTCAAATCCATCCAATGGTGGGCCCTGGCCTGGGCGTTGTTTTCAACGCATGAACACTGAAGAAGGAATATTGGCCACCATTCACGAGCCTTTCCATATATAATTTCCAATTCCATCAATCTTTCTCATCTTCTCCCGAGATATGACACACAAACAAACGCTAGCTAATACTAATCTCAATCCATTAATTAATAACTCTATTATATTTCTTGTTTGCTTTCACTTTTGAATTACGTTTTCGGCTTTTCTTGTGTCGTCGGATTTACAGTTTTACACTATATACCTCGATCGGCTGAAGCTAGCTACCAGCTGAAACATTTGTATCTTGTAATGAATCAACCAATAAAGTTAAATTTTCTTTTATTTATTTATTTTATATATTCTTTTAGCATTGTTCAGCCCTATATCTACGTATTGCCACATGTCGCATCATAGTACACCTGGACCCACGTCAAATGGGTCTAACCTGAAAGATCTAATAATGTGTGTTCACTTAACCTTTTAATTAATTAGCAGCTATATATGCAGAGCTAGCTCATTAATACACCACACCTTCTTTAATTATTCTTTTTTCTCTACACTAAAATTCACACTTTGCTATTGGAGAAAATGTGTCTGGCACTTGGGTGGGTTCTATACTTCTATTAGCTCGATCCCTTCATCCATGTGGAAGGAGGATCTGGCTAAACCTAACTAACCATATATCCATAGATAAGATATTATCTGCTCTCTACTTCATCGTGCATCACATAGCATTGGGCCTGTGCTCAAGTACTGCCAACCAATGAAGTGTCAATGTTCGAGTCCAAGAATGACCAAAGAAAAAGGATTTTGTTTGCCGTGTGGTAGGGGTTGTTGGATGGAAACTTGCAGGTTGAATGGAGGGCAGTGTGGGAACATGTGGAGCCCTTTTATTTAGCTGATATCTTAGCTGCGTAATAATATTTTTGACTTGTCTAATTGAAATAATCTCCTCCTTACTCTTAAGAGCCTCTAAATTAATATTTATATTCATCCATCAATGAGAAATGGATTTCTTTGGGACCATTCAGTAAACTTCTCAAAATGGTCATGGGAACAACCCACGTGGCAATTATGTGTATGGATGACGTGGACTTTGAGATAGCACACGTGGCTAATCCACTAAGTCTTCTATGAGATAGATAGATGGTTTGTATCGGCCATGCAACATCCCTAGCTCCATGTGAAAGAAATAGAAATAGGTGTGTTTATGTGGGGAAACCTTTTTCCACTTATGCTTAATGTTTATGCTAAATTTGGTTGGTATTAAGTTAACTCGCCGGTCAATTTACAGCGGAGTATTCAGGTTTTAAAACCCTACAGCAGCATCCTCTCTCTCTCTCTCTCTCTCTCTCTCTCTCTCGTTTGGTCTTCTGTTGCACATGCCGGTTTTAACTTCTCCAACTCCCTTTGACCCACATAAAGATTCTAACTTCATAGGTATCATTTTCTTACCTTTTCTCTTGTTCTTTATGCCCCTATCCTTTATATATACCCCTCCCTCCTCCTCCTCTCTAGACCTGGCAAAACTAATCAGTTTTCTTTTCCTCCCTTTCTTCTTCTGATGGAGAGTTCCTTGAATTCTTCTAAGAATAAAGCTATATCTTCCAAAGGAAAAACAAGGGTTGATAATTGTCCTGAGGAAAGTGGTTGGACTATATATTTTGAGGACTTCTTGTCCAACAACCAGGAAACTACCTCTCGTTCTTCGGGTTTTGTTAGCTCTTCATTGGTTTCTGATGCCGCTTCTTGTGCTGCACGGAAAAAGTTTTCCGATCAAGATGGTGGTTCCGTTGGCTGTTATTCACTGGTGGGATCTCAGAAGTCCTGTAAGGAATTAAGTTTCAAGAAGAGGATGAGAACCAAGGGAGTTTGGGATGATGATGATTTAGAGGATACTGCTAGCTCTCCTGTTAATAGTCCCAAGGTCAGAACCCATTTTTCTTATTTTTCGATATTTTAATTTTGTATTTATTTTACTAGAAATCAAGATTTGACTTATCTTTTTATTTTATAGGTTAGTAATCTCAAACAGTTGGATTTAAACCAAAGAAAGAAAGATGATCCTCTAGAAAGGTTTAAGGTGAACTTCAATTTCCTTCTTTTCCCTATATTTTCTACTTTCATCTTTACGTCTTTCTTGCTCCTGCTGGGTTTGGTGTTAAATGGTTCTTTGTGGATTCTGATTTTGTAGTAGAAGGGAAGTTCTTCTGGTCAGTACTCTTCAGAAATGCAGACAAACGAGGGAAGTGAATCGATCGAGTTTTATTGGGGGAGAAAATGATTGTACAGCACTGAAGAAAAGAGGGCTACTTTTGGTTCCTTCATCCACGTTATTCAACAATCTTGGATAAATCCTTGTTATCATCTTTCCTTCTCTGGTCATAGGCACATGACACGAAAGAAATTGAATTGATTTTATTGTTTGATAAAATGACTCTACAGAATTGCAGGAGAGGATTTTGCTGGGTCTCTTTATCCATGTTATTGGACGATCTTGGATAACTTCACGTCGTCAACTCTCTCTCTCTCTCTCTCTCTCTCTCTCTCTCTCTCATTTAAAGAAATGAAGTCCTATTAAAATGCTTCCTAATAAGATTTATTTATTTTCATTATCTCAGTTAGAAATATCCTCATCAATACATTAATGCATAGGGTGATCAGAAAATAATCTAAGGCTCAGTCGACCCAAGTGGTGGATTAACCGATCGAGGAGGGGCAGTCAAAAGTGGTTCCAGTTCCAACTTCCACTCTTGATAAACAAATATGGGTGCTCAAAATTTTGTTCCATCTAACCTGTGAACAGGGAATTTGATGTAGAGAGGTTCACAGAATATTCTATTTCATTTTCTTGCAGAGGGTATTGCCTAAAAAGAAAAATACTTGATTAGGAGGGAAAAGTATACTATTTTGAACAAACGATTGCGACGCAGAATTCAATTAAAGCAAATCAAGTCTCAGTGGGTCGTGCAATTACTGTCATTGGACTGCAATTTAATTAATAATTGGCCACATATTTGGTAATTCTGTTAGAAATTTATGAATAAATGCATTCCAAAAAAAGAAAACTGAGGTGATGCATCTACTAGCACATATGGAATAGGCATGATTGCATTTCGAACAAATTAAAGAGAGTTAATCAATTATCTGAATTTCCTGAGCCACAAATTCAGCAGTCCTCAATCTGAACAACTTACCAGAGAGTATAAAGTTCTATAAATGGCTTTACAGTGTAATAATATTAGGACTGAGCTATATATACTGGGAGCCAACTCAACTGAGCAACAACAAAAAAAAAAAAAAAAAAAAAAAAAAACAGTGTTTTCTAAGAAGAGTAAATGAATCGAGAGTTTTCAATTTATTTCTATTCATTTTCTCCAAGCACATGAATATTCAGAAACTATTAACTTCTCTTCTTGGAATTATTAAATGGATATGCTAATTATATATTTTTGTGCAAGTGGGTGTGAGCAGAATCACTTCCAAAGAATAGAAATTCCTTCCATCTCCATAACTGATGATCAAAAAAATGGAAAAAGTTATGTAGTAGCAATAAAAAATTGAGGAATATTAGATTTAGAAATAAATAAACAAAGAGCTTCATCTACTGCTTGGAAGCAGACCTTTGATTTAAATAATCAGAACCGGCAGGAATAGAAGACCCCTCCATGTGCAGATACATTAAGGCAGGTGAGTACACAAAAGGCCGTGGCTAGTTTTTGTTTGTTCTAATCTTTAAGCTTTTAGAGAGAGTACTAGAGACATTCGGTAGGAATCCACCTTCAATACCCCAAGCTGACGCCTCTCTTCGTAGATTTATGTATCTTTTCTTCAGTGTTATTATATTTGTTTAGTTGTATTTCTTTCTTCTTTCTTAGAAGGAACAAATCCATCAATCAATATTCATTCATGTTCAGTACCACATTTCCCATTTTGTCATCTCAGTGATTTGACTAGAACACCAGCGACCAGCCATGAGAGACAAATGTCTATACAATGAACATACTACGTTGGCAATGGCCTACACTCTACAGGAGCGCATATGCTTCCTGTCCTTTGTTGTCACTTCTCCCTCAAATTTTGTTTTTTCTTCATTCTCTCTACGATAAAACGAGCAAGGAAACGTGTGTTGCTCGTTAGATGGCTTTTAATTACTCACTGAGTCACTGAAAGCAGGAGTTTGTAATTGATTTCTCAGGAAAAACATCCAAATGCCAAATAATTCTTGTGACTCGGCCGTGTCAGCATCCTATCTTAATTGACCAAGGAACGAATTTCCAGAGTTTAATTTATATAAGCCCACTCAGAACTCGGTGATTTCTTGGGGTTAGGTTAGAAAATGAATCACCATTAGCTTCAAAGCAATTAGACACATTGTCTATCAACATTGTTTCTGGTCAATGTTTCACAACCTGAACCTAGAAAGGAGATTGATTAGTTACCAAGAGAAAATTAATAAGGAGATTGGGTCAAATGGAGCAGATCGATTCGAATTGGTTGAACTGGGTCGTGACCTGGGTGATCCCATTGAAACCAACTTGAACTGCACGTTGCAAAGAAAAAACTCGGTGCAACTTTTTTTACTTTGTGGAATTGTGATTATTTTTCAGTTAATTTAGTAATCAAAGGTACATTTGAAACCTAAAAATAAGCCTCAAGCCCAACAGTTAGGCCCACATCAGTGTCTAGGAAGGCGGGATTCTACCGGACTGACCAGACTTTGATGGTGGTTATAAATTTCAAGATTCATGTACCCATCTACTTCGACTATATATATTTTTTTTAATTGGGACAGAATTGGACCGAATTCCTAATTGCTGAACCTATATACTTTGACATTTCATTTCATGTCTCCGGGGCCGGGCATGTTAGGAATCAGGGTAATCGGGTACCCTTTGATGGATGTTGAACCAAAAGGGCCTGGATCCTGATTTCATGTCTCCAGACTGGGCCACGTTCCATACACAAATCTTTGGGTGCTAAATTGAGCCATGTTTCATCTACATCACAAAAAAAAAGTCGGCAAAAGGGCTTGGGCTTCGGGGCTTATTCGGACATGAAAAGATAGAGGGGTTTTCCTTCCACGAACGATTTTTAAGGGCACATGGGTTGCCAGCCACTAAACACAGAGAAGGCCGTTGGCGCTATCGATGACGATTTGCCTCCAATTTTGTCAGTATCAATCTCTCGTGGAAAAAAATTGACACGTGGCAACTCTCGGTCGTGCGACATTATCTTATTAGGGTAAGTAGAGAAACATACCTATAGAAATTGCATAGCCCCAATTGTCTCTCTACCATTAGATTGTTAGACTTTGGTAAATGATTAAAGAGAATGGTTGATGGGGGAATGTTTGTATTCACAAGAATCTTTTGACTTGATGTTGCAGTTGACTTTTATACTGTGGACTCGTTGAAATTTGACCACATTGATGGGAATCCGATCATTTGATCAAGCAGACAAACTAGCTAGATGGGCAAGAGGCATGTGCAGTCTATTGAACCCTATCATGGTTAATGGTATTTTTGTAGACACAATTCTATCAATTAATATTAACAAAATACAACTACCCACTCTTATTCTGCTCTTCACATATAATTCAATAAAACTATGATGGTAATCAGTATCCATCAAAATACAATCTATTCTGTTGTCTTTATGTATATAGATAAAGGGAAAACTATCAGAATATATCTTTCTCTCTCTCTCTCAATGAGAAATCAAAATTTCGATCTTATGCAGAATTTTAATCCACTCAAAATTCAGCATTAATTCACAGTAGGTTATAAAGTCGCTATCAGCAAAACCCCTCCCACTGATTCGTCGAAACCAGTTGCTGCTACTTTCAAAGCTATCGGCTTCAACATGAACAACTACAGAACATGAGGTTCAAAAGACAGGTTCTCACCTGAAAATTAATATATTAGGAGTTAACTACCAAGGGGAAGTCTGCGTGGTTAAAGAATTGTGACACCCCAAAACCTAAACAAGAAAGGAAATCACCTAAATATCGCAATCTTTGTGTGATCACATTCGCTATATAAGACTCTAGGGATCGTGTGGATCGTTCAAACAAAAGAACATTAATTTAGTTGTAGCTTAATTATTTCAAATAATTTGACTCTTGGCAGAATCAGTAGAAGGGAACTTTTTTTTTTTTAAATGAAGCACTTACGTGTATTGTGTCATTTCAAAGCTTGTGTCAATGAGAGATAATGCTGTGTTTGCCATCAGCATTGGATAGATGTTTGGACTACATGTGGAATTGGGCCTTATGCACATATATTTAGGGGATAACCATTTTGATTATTGGCAAAACAGCGTTAGATTGGTTTACAATATTTGTTTACAGTGGATCCTAGCTCGTGTAAGAAAACTATTGGTCCAGGGAAATGAATTATAAACAATTATTCTTTTGTTGGCAAGTGGACTATGGTCAGTTGTTAGTGTTGAGACTGAAGATGGGACTAGGACTGGACCCCGAATTTAGACTAGACTAGGGATTCTCTCAGAATTCAAAGACCATCTACGAAGCTGCTTCCATCTTATCATGGATGAAAACAATAAAGCCAACGGAAAGAAGAACAAAACAGACAAGAATAAAATCAAGCTAACAAGTAGTAACAACTATAAGTGGTGAATGCATGGTGATAAAGGCCAAACTATTAAAGAAAAATAGTTTGGATAAGTCAGCTGATTCCCTATTAATGGATGATATATAATATAGTTATAATATTTATATATATATAATAAATAAATCAAACTGGTCCTCCTTTTTGAAAGTTAGGTAGTTTATCATTGCCATGGTCATTAAAAATTACAGGGTCATGGTGTCCGTTTTTATATTCTGATTTGTGACCTTCTGATTGTTGTTGAAGTAGAGTTGTTGGCTAGTTGTTGAATTAGAGTGGTTGGGATGTCATGTTGGGCTTTTTTTTTAATGGCTACTACTCAAAACCTTTCACTAGCTATCAAATATCATCATATCCAGTTTTTTCTTTTAATTATCTCCTAACAATATAAGCCGTCTGATAATCAATGCAAACACCATATTCACAAACTAAGGGGGTATTAGCCAATGTGACTGGTTTTGTTTTTTTTTTTTTTTAACAAAAACAATTGCCACATCACCAAAAATGTATTACTTTTATGACGTGACAAATGCTTTTTGTTTTAGAATGGATAACAGCCCTTAAGATATAACCAGCATAACATATATAATGCATAACGACAACAAACCATATTTTAAGGGGGTCTGTTACTTCTTTGTGGAAACAAACATTGGCTTGTATTTACAAGGTTCAAAATTTCGTTAATCAGCCCGTATTGGCCGATACGTATTATATCTTTGAGGTTCCGGCATGGAAAATGATACCAAATCCTTAGTACGGTTCTTTTTCGTTGTGCTGGAAGTGTATCATGCCCGAATGGGTAATGTTTCAGTGAGTATCGGTCTGTAGCGTATTGGCCGATACAATGCGATTTTACTGTTGCGGAAAAAGAAAAAAAAAACTTCATTCGAAGAGGACTTCTAAACCCATTTCAAAAGCCGACTTTTTCCCAAAACCCTCTAGAAACCTTCATAGCATTCTTAGATATTGAATCCTAGCCAAAATCCACCAAAACATTCACAAATTTACAAGTTCCAACAAGTTTTTCAAGATTCTTAAAAAATGAGCAAAAATATGTATTTTTTTCAATTTTTTTACAATGTCATCCAATGTTTGTGTTTTTTTTTAGTTTGGATGCTTAGAAACATCTTTGTGTATGTTGATATGCTATTCCTGTGCAAAAATTCCCACTTATTTTGATCCTATATGTAGATCTTTGTGAATATTTGAAGAATTTTCAAAATAGTAAAAAATCTGAAAGAAATGAAAATTTTAGGTTTTTCTTGTTATATACCTCTAAAAATTGATTATGTTGTAGATTTGTGGATGATCTACCATGTCCATAGATCAATTGAAATTTCTTGTGAATAATTGATTTTTTTTTATTTTTGGAATAATATATAATATATAGATAACTTCTTCAATTTTATGTAATCTAACCCTACAAGTTGAGTATGTTTTAGAGCTAAGACTGACAACAATATATTGAAATATCATGTGAAAATTTTAATTTGTTTTTTTATTTTTTTAGATTATAAATATTTATTTATTTCTCTAATTTTTTGCTATGATTTAAATCCTAATAATAAATATTTACATATTTTTCTGTTACATATTTACTTTTTAAGTTTTAGTTTAATTTTTAGAATAAAACAAGCAAAATAATTATTTGAATAAAAATAAATAAATATTTAGTTTTTTTAATGAAACATGCAAAATAAATATTTCATCTATTATGTCCATAAATCCATTCAATTTTCTACTATATATTTACTTTTTTTAATTTTAATTTAATTTTTAGAATAAAACATGTAAAATAATTATTTGAGTAAAAACAAATAATTATTTAATTTTTATAATGAAACATGCAAAATAATTATTAATTTTAGAATAAAAATAATAGATATCCATGAATCTATTCATAAAAATATTTGTTTAATTTTTAAAATAAAACATGGAAAATAATTATTTGAATAAAAATAAATAATTATTTAAAAAATACAAAAAAATGGTTGATTCAATAATTACAAATTTTACATAATTATTTGATTCAATGATTTTTAATTGTTTAATTTGATTAGATAAAACTTAGCAAAATGTTTAAAACAATTAAAAATAATTTTTAGTAATATTTAAAGTTATTTAAAAAAAATACAGAATAAAAGGCATTGATATATTTCACATGATAATCTATAATTTGAATGTGAATACAATTTTGGCCTCAAAAATATGAAAACAATTATTATTTGTTTAATTGGATACTTATATTAGACAATGATTAAAAAAAATCATAATAACAATTGAAAATTAGTTTACTAACATATTAACACTTAAAATTGGATAATTTATACAATACTTGAATTTTTATGTGATTTATTTAAAGTTGTAAAAATCATATTGGGATTCAAATGTTGAATTTGTAAATGATAATAGATTTAAAATTTGAAGTTAGAACTGAATTAAGTACCTTATTAGATAGTATGCTTCTATTCCCATTTGTTGATTATAATATGCTTTTTTATAAAACCCATCAAAACATGTGATTTTTATGTATAAATAGCTCTAAGTCTTATATTTAATGGTATTGATGTTTATTTGTGATTTATTAGAGTATTTATAGCATTTCTATGTGTTTTCATGCGTATCTTAATTTTTCGTCCATATCCATATATGTCCAAAGCATATTTTGATACACCTCTTAAATTTGCCTTTCCGATACACATAACATTTATCATACTTTGAACCTTTAAGATGACTATCTAATCCTTTGGTTTTTTATTTCCATTATATTTCACTCCTTTAACAGGTCTACTGTTTCACGCAATATAAAGATCATTAACCCATGCAGCCACACTACATTTCTTGTTATGGTAGTGTAGAACGATCGGTTGTTAATGTAGAGAAAACTTTAGCAGATTGAATTAATCGACTTTGTGTTAAAAAAGCTTTCAATGTGAACACAGCCAACCCTAGAAAAAGATTTCAAATTTGTTAATATACTTAAATTACTTCATTTAGCCAATTACTATAAATAGAGTTTCCAATGAAATTTATAAGATTTGCTAGCTAGGCTTATGGTGTACAACTGCAGGATATTTGAGGTTATAAAGATGAGAATTTTTGCATGTAAATTTTCACATAATATAAATATCTCCTTGCGTGCTGATCTATGAGACTATAGCTTGGAGCGGTGGAAAAGGAGCAAGAAAACCAAACAAATTCTATGCAAAGTTCCAAAAGTTTGGACCACCTACCGAGAATCTATACCTGTCTTGACGATTCCACCTTTATTTGCAAGCATATCCCTAACGCTTGAATATATAAAGAAAAACTCAAACTTTCTAATTATTTTAAGAGTTCAGATATAAATATTTGAATATTTCTTATTTCAGCATAGTTTATTTGTAATTCAAAACCATTTAGTTTAGAGAAAATTACAGATAGATACCTTGTATTTTGGGGGAGATGATATTTAAAGGGTCTCGACTTTCAAATGCAACAATTAAGTACTCTAAACTTTTAAAAAATCAAATTAAGTCCAGCATTGTTAACTGATGTTGCATTGAATAGTAAAACTATCAAACTGCCCATTTTAAATTCATTGTATACAGTAATGATAATGAGTTTATTGAACTGGTTTAAGAGAATGATCAGATTCTGATACAAAGTCAGTTTAGTAAAGGCTCTCATATTTAAAATGTGTAAACGATAATTTTGAAATTTTGAAATATTTTAAGAGGTTCATGACATAATTGACATAGATAAACGGGTAAACTTAAGTGTTGACAGTTGAAGGCTTGAAAGCCAAGTGTTACTACTTACTACCCCAAATTACAGGGTATTTATATATAATTTTTTCTTTAATCTAAATTAATTAGCTTTTAGCATTGCTTTTACACATGTCAAATTTCATCTTCATTCACGTGGGCCTCGACTCTTTTCTCTCTTATTTTCTACCAAACCAAATACAGCCTTCTTGATCTAATTAGAAAGCCGGCCATTTGCTTTGTGAGAAGTCATTACAAAGGCGTTTCTGCTTTGAAAAGTACTTTCACCACATTAATCGCAATTCTGATGCCCCAAAGTCCCAAACCATCGCAGTAACACTTTAATTTATTCCTTAGTTAAAACCTTAGCCGAATAATGGATCTTGTACTCGACCTGAACTTCAAGCCCCACCTCCAACTAGCATGGTTTCTGCTCTCCTGACTCCTGAGTGTGGTCTGTGGTGGCACTGGCAAAATGGGTATCCTCCTATTACCCGAAATCCCAACGCATCTGCCTCTGCCCGTCCGGGCCCACCAACTTAATTTATACCTAACTATAATTGGGTTCAATTGGAATCCATGAGAAACCGACTTTATTAGTAGTTAGTAGTACCGACAATGACAAAACATTTAAATAGATGAATCTCCAAGTTTATAAGAGAGAAGAAAGTAATTAAATTCGGTATATATAGACATGGACCTGGGCCCAACAGGATCCATCGACACTCCTACTCCTTATTGACTTCGTCCATTTAGCCAGCCCAGCCTGGCCCATGTATACCTATGTGTAGTGTAATTCTTTTCTTTTCTGTTTTCTTTTTTAAGCCAATAGTAGTGTAATAATACCTTAATCAAAACTTTGAATGGATTGATTTCTTATATCGGCAAAAATTGAAACGTGTTATCCACGAGAAGAGAACTGAAAAGAAGAAATCACACAATAAAATAATTATTTTATTTCTTTATTTACATTACTTCGTATACAACCATAAAACTGAATCTTATTTTCCAACTGAAATATATGAAGAAAACCTCAAAAACCAAGCCAACCTTGAAGATCCAGTTGAATTCACCGGTGCAAGTGTGTGTAAAAAAATCAATAAATAGTATTGGAAAAGGGGAGAAAGAAAAAGCAAAACAAAGCACAGATTTCCCAAATGACTCAAACGAGTTCACATGACTAAAAGAAGAGATGAACCGAGAAATGCTCCAATTGAACTGACGACGAAACTCACGAACATCGAAGAGGCTCCACTTGGAGGGGAAGGTGACTCCTCACCAACTGGAGCTGGAGTCTCAACGGGAGATTGGGATGGACCGGTCTCCGTAGATGGCGGAGGAGAAGGCGGAGCCAATCGGCCGCTTCTGTCAGCCAGGACTACCACCACCATCTTCTCGTTTTTGAGACAGCTCTCTACGATCCCACTTATGAAATAGTACGGGCCGGATTGGTTGAACTTGAAGGAAGTGTGGCCATCATTGAACAAAGCAATGGGTTGTCCTGTGTTGCAGTTGGTGTAATCGTCTTTGTTCACTTGAAGCACTGAGTCTTTTTCCGGCGTGTACACGAACACTGCAATAATATTTAACAGCAGGGTAAAAAAAATGCTGTAATTGGAATTGGATTATATATCAAACACAGAGATGTAACAAATAAGCATCAACATACTCTTTATTATTAATTGCCAGTTAAATAGGGTTTGCAGACAAGTTTGTCACCGACAGACCTTTGATATTGATCTCATTTATATAGAAAAAATGTATTTGATATTTTGGGTAATTAATTAAAGCATGCATCAACGTAACTTACATAGAGAGTCTCCGATTTGAAACCGGTTCTTCTCTGCCCATTGGTTGTAGCTGGGTGCATTGGCATCAGTGGGCACAGCCCACCCGTTTGAGCTTCCAACCTTGAACTCCGTTGCAGAAACTCTTTGAATCAACAGAGAAAGGCTAAAGAGACTCAAAGCATGAAATAGTTTAATGTGGCGACTTGATCTTAGAATGCTGTTGGCCATGGGTAAAGGCAAAGAAACAAGACTGAGGTTGAAGGTTTGATAGGACTGTGATCATAGTTTCGGTTTTTGTAGGCCTCTGAGCAACCTTTACAAGCTGTTGCAGTGAAGCTTTTGCTTCTTTTTGTTATTCTCTCTTTGAATATCTTGGCTACTTGTCAAAGCATATGGACACTTTATTGATGAGTTGGGCTGTTCTTATTAGTTTTCTTACAAGGCTATGCCTTGCTTGACCATATTAAGAATATCCATGCCTTGTGCCTTAGGTAAGAATTTTTGTTTCAAGTAGCGCGACAGAATGAGGGTAGCCCTCTATCCATATGAGTGCGATCGTCTCTCCTCCCAAGTCCCAACCTGTTTAACCTATAACTAAGGGTGATCAGTTCCAGCTCGACCCAGTCTGTCCCCGAAATTTTGGGCCTAGGCTTAGGTTTTGTGTAAACCCGGCAAACAAAACATATTTAATTTTATACCAATAAGAAATACTATTACTTCCTCCTCTCTTAATTGATGGAAAAGGATTTGATTTGTTTAGATAGTGACGCAAAATCCATAATCGAACTCCTCTCTTCAGATTATTATTGAGTGCAGGAACCGACCGTAAGGTTCCAGTCCATTCTTCAAGGCTTCTATATATACAGGTTAAATGTGGGCCGGGCCAGGCCAGCATGGCCCACATTTCATGACACCCTCACTGTAGTGGCCCGTGACGGCACAGCCCTTGCAGGTTGGCCTGTAGGTGGCCTAGCCCATTTTCACCTCTACGGCTTACCACATACATCTAGTGCTTGTAATAGGCTGGTTCACTACGCTTTTAGGAAATAGGAAAAACTAATTAACTACTTTTATGACCTACTCTATTAGACTATTACTCCAGTTTTTATCAGACCTTTGGTACTTAAAAAAGAGAGGTAATTTTTATTACGGTAAATTCCAAATTATTATCCTGAATTTTGGAGATAGTGGCAACCACCCCCCCCCCCCTCCCCAACTTTCATTTGCAGCAAAGAACCTCCCTAAACTTTCAGATTCTAACAAAGACCCCCTCTGTTAACATCCCGTCAGGTGTCAGCTAACTTTGAAGAAAAAGATTTTCATGTTAATGTTCAAAATTTTCTAAGTCCCCAAATGCCCTTTTTTTTCAACATTTTTTTTTTCAATTTTCAACAATGGCAAAAATAGTACTTTCAGATGACAGGATGAAATGCCGGTAGCTTTCCAGCCAGAGTTGCAAGGTTAAACCATTGGGAGAGAGGGTTGTGTTGATAAACAAATTTTTGGCCCAAGAAATCTATTGGCCCACTAATAAAAGAATAACAAAATTTGAGCCCAAGAAAGATGCTGGATGGRACTCACATTTCAATGGTAATTAATATGGAAAGAAGGTTTAGATGGCCAAGTGGTTATTGGCCTAACGGGCCACACAAGATTTTTTTGTAAGTGGATTTAATCCCTTGGGCTTAGATTTTAAGCATGTCAGCCCCATATGGTAAGGCTGCACATGGTGCGTAATCACCCAGTTACAGTTCCAATGACCTTTAGGTGGTAGCAAAATGACAAATCAACCAGAAATCTTTTCAAACTAATGTGGCGGGTTTGAATTAAATTGTAATTGACATTTAAAGGTTCTTAAGTGACAAAATAAAAGGGGAAATGACAATTGGCTAATTGATATGATATGAATAATCGCTAACTAGCTGAATGATATTTCCTTTTACGTGGGCCCTCCACCCCATCATAAATATTGATCCTATGGCATAATTCGTGGGGACTAATTAGATCTTAGTAAGATGTCCCCATTAATAGACACGTCGATGACTGATTAGGGATGATAAAAGAGAATCATGTTAATAGATGAAGGATCTAGTGGGACCCATTTAATGGAGATTAATGCGCAATAATGCCTAATTGACGATTGGATAAGAGAAAATTAAGGTTGGTCAACAAATTTATTGAAGATCACTAATGGCATTCCCTTTTATAACATGGATTTCAAAATGGAAATGGGGTGGGCTTTTCAAACCTAGCCATCCACTATAAAACGAAGAGGAGAGCAAGGAGACTCCCTCTCTGAGAGGTGACCGGGGGAGAGGCATGCTCAACTAAAATCATTCTCTCCTCTTCGGCTCCCTCTAGCAGCTCCTAACTCTTGTGTCAACTTCTCTTGTTGTAGGAAGGCAGAACTAGAAATTCAGTTTCTCAACCATTGAAGCTTCAAAACTACTGCAATCCTGTGTCACACAAATTGAAGAATTTGGTCCTTTAAGTTACTATAATCAATGAAAGCTCCTATCAAATTACTACAAACAATAAATCTTCTATCAAATTGTTGTAATCAAGAAGATCTCCATTGAATCATTACAAGGGACCTCCTACAATTAAAGTCATCAAGATTTACGGGTCGTGTCCATGACAAGCTACAAATGCAAGTTCAATCATGCTTGTGAAATGAGAATCAAAGGGTATTCTTCAAAAAAAAAACAAAGAATTTGTATCCCACTTACATTTCTACAAAAAAAAAGTTAATTAAGTTTCTTTGAATTTGTCTTCATTCTTTTTGTGCTCCAAATTTAGCATGAAATTTGTGTCAACAAATTTCTAGCACGCCTGGTGGGACATCTCTTTCCTCTTATCTCTCAAGTCAGCACATCAAGTTTGTTTTTGCAAATAGTTTGAACACATGGCTCCAAAGAAAACCGTTTCAAGTGTTGTTAGGAACAAGAAAAACACCACATATAGCTTAAGCTCGTCCGAATCAAGTGCATTTTTAGCCTCCAACTACGAGAGGCCAACCACCCGCCTTATGATAAGGTTCCGGGATTCACAATTAGTTGCACCTCTCGCCTTCTATGGAACTCAATGGGTCCCTTCAAAAGTCTAAAATGCCAAAAAGGGACCTCAAGGTTCCTGACAGTAAAGGATACTAATACAAAAGGGTAGACCCAACGAAAGAGTTCATCACAACAAATCCACTTGACCATCCAAGTGGAGGAATGCCCATGTCGAATATGGAATCAAGTACAGGCTCCCATCCCAACTCTCCTAAAACCGAAGGGTCTAATTACATGCAGACTCACTCGATAGCACCCATCATGATGGTAGGAGCTACTACAATGGAAACAACTTGTTGGGGTGATTGCAGTCATTGCTAAGTTAACAAAGACGGTGGAAGAGAAGGACCTTCAAATTACTTCTCTCATGAACCGAATGGAACAAATGCAAACAACAGCATTTAGCCAAGGGCCTTCACACCCACCAGGGTTCACCTCACAAGTAGACCCTCACCGAGAGTTGCCAAAACGTACTAACATACGGGATGCCCAACATGCTTCGATTTCCTCCCTCGTAGTACAATAACTCCAAAACATGATAGCTGTCACAATACATGCTCAGTATAGGGGTGTTCCACAATCATCCTCGGTGTATACTAAGCTATACACTAAGTGCATTGATCATATGCCTATGTCGTTAGGATACCAACCCCCGAAGTTTCAACCATTGAATAGAAAAGGCAACCCCAGGCAACATATTGCACACTTCGTGGAAATGTGAAACAATGTCGGGACCTATGGTAATTTGATGGTAAAGCAATTCGTACGATGTCTACGAGGAAATGTTTTCAACTGATACATTAACATCCCTTTTAGATCAATCAATAGTTGGAATCAATTAGAAAGAGAGTTCTTGGATCACTTCTGCAATACTCAACATACTGTAAGCATGTACGAACTCACTACCACAAAATAGAGAAAAGATGAACTAGTCGTTGACTATATTGACAGGTGAAGAAATCTCTACCTTAACTGTAGACAAGTTCTTAGAAGCTTCAAGTATTGATACTTGTATTTATGGCATGCGTTAGGGTTTGCATTACATCCTTAAGGGAATAAAACCCCAAACATTTGAGGAATTGGCCACCTACGCCCATGACATGGAACTTAGCTTGGCTACCTTCGGAGAACATCACCTAGATGATTTTCAAAGGGAAAAGGAAAAGAAAGATAGTGAAAATGAGACAAAATTATCTAGGCCAATGCAAGTTCTAACAACCTCAATAGCCCCTCTCAAGGTTATTGGGAAGAGAAAAAGCAAGAAATAAATAAAATAAAATATTCAACAAGAGAAAGAAAATACAAAGCTCATTATTAAGGAATTAGATGCGAAAGTGTATTCATTCCTTGACTCAGATGTCCCAAAAATGTTGGATGCCCTTCTAACTGAAAAGCTTATAGAGCTTCCTAATAGTAAATGCCCAAAAGAAAAAGGAAAATTGATCATCCAAAGTATTGTCGTTACTATCAGGTAATTAGCCACCCAGTTGAAAAATGTTTTGTTCTCAAAGATAAGATAATGCAATTGGCTGAGTCAAGAGTGGTCGAACTAGGTCCAAGTGAGGACATAGTGGCCACCAACATGACGACTATTACATTTGGATCCCTTGAACCTAAAGCTCTTCAATACCCTTACCATCCTGTCATCTATAAACTTACACCTGGGGCATCACTAGATCAAACACAAATCCATAGTGGCCTTTCTACTTGTTGCCATACATTGTGGGTAGTACTAAATCAAGCACAAGCACATGCCTTAAGTCCCAAGGAAATTACTTCACCCTGGTCCATATCACTCTCAAAAGATGACTGGACCATCATTACACGACGGAAACATCATGTGACACACCATTCTCTTCTTCCTTGTGAACAATTAAAGAAGAATAAAAGGAAGGCTCGGTCACAGAAGCCTCCTAAAAGCAAGAAGAGACAAGGTAAGAATACTTCTACCTAACCACCATGAGTGATAATTAATGAAGTTTTGAAACAAATTCCTCGACTTTCAATTACTCTACAAGAATACATACAAAATGAATTCTTTTCTAGAGGATGTATAGTTGTGCATATAGTCATTTGTTACGCGAAAAGAAAATGAGTCAAATTTATGCTCCTAGACATAAGCTTAAACTATCTAATAGAAAAAAAAAAAACTCACAAAACCCACTCCTAGATATGAGCCTAAACTATCTATGCTCTTAGATATGAAGTTAAACTATCTAATAGAAAAAAGAAACTCACAAAATTCGCTCCTGGATATGAGCCTAAACTATCCATGCTCCCAAATACGAGCTTAAACTATCTATTAGAAAAAAAAAACTCACTCAATCTGCACCTAGATATAAGCCTAAACTATCTATGCTCCTAAATATGAGCTTAAACTATTTAATAGAAAAAAAAAACTCACAAAATTTGCTCATGGATATAAACCTAAACTATCTATGCTCCCAAATATGAGCTTAAACTATCTATTAGAAAAAAAATCACTCAATTCGCTCTTGGATATGAGCCTAAACTATCTATACTCCTAGATATGAGCTTAAACTATCTAATAGGAAAAAAATAAAACTCACAAAATGCACTCCTGGATATTGAGCCTAAACTATCTATGCTCCTAGGTACGAGCTTAAACTATCTATTAGAAAAAAAAAAACTCACTCAATTCGCTTTGGATATGAGCTTAAACTATCTATGCTCTCATATATGAGCTTAAACTATCTAATCAGAAAAAAAATAAAAAATAAACAATAAAAAAACTCATTCAAAATGTGCTCCTAGATATAAATATAAACTACCTAGGAGACTCTCGAGTATGAGTATAAACTACTCGTCTTTCTAAACAACTCAAAATTTGCTCCTAGATACGAGCTTAAACTATCTATAAGACTCTAGGGCATGAGTATAAACTGCTTTACACTCTATCAGACTAAATTATTTGTGCTCCCAAATACGAGTATAAACTGTCTACGAGACTCCCAAGTATGAGTATAAACTACTCGACTTTCTAAACAATTCAAAGTTTGATCCCATATATGAGCTTAAACTGTCTTTAAGATTTTAGGGCATGAGTGTAAGCTGCCTTCCACCCTATGAACCTAAATTATCTATGCTCTCGGATACAAGCAGAAACTATATGTAAGACTCCTGAGTATGGGTATAAACTATTCAACTTTCATTCTTCTAAAGTAACTCAAATGTGCTCCTGGATACGAGCATAAACTATCTACAAGACACCTAAATATGAGTATAAACTATTCAACTTCTAAAGTAATTCAAATGTGCTCCCGAATACGAGCATAAACTATCTACAAACTCCAAGAGTATGAGTATAAACTACTCGTCATTTTAAAATCACTCAAAATTTGCTGCAAAACTCCCGAGTATGGGTATAAATTGTTCAACCTAATAAACATCTCAAAATCCACTCCCGGACATGAGCCTAAACTATCCACTAAGCGCTCATAGATAAGAGACTAAACTATCTACAAAGCCCCAAATTGTAGGTACAAATCACTTCATGAACTACGTCATGACTTTATCCTTCTAAGGGTACGTAGGCAACCTGAAAGGTGTAGTCACAAAATAAATTATTTGTACCACTCCTAGCCCGTATGAGTATAAGTTGTGAATAGCCAAATCAAATAAAATAACATTTATGTATTACTCTTGGCCAGCATGAGTATAAACTGTGAATGGCCAAAACCAAAAAGAAAGATCATACTCGTGAACTACAAGAGTATGAACTACTGATGGCACAAAAAAAAAGGAGAAAATTCTCTACTCCTAGTCCACAAGAGTGTAAACTTTGCAAGTCGGTGGTTTCATTGCCAATTACAATAACAACCACCAACTTTGGGGGCATTTGTTCATATGTTAATTTTTGGCCCAAGAAGTAAAGTAAAATAGGGTCCAATAGGAGATTGAATGAAAAGGAGCTATTGGCCCACTAAGAAAAGAATAAAAAAATTTAGGCCCAAGAAAGATGTTGGTTGGGACCAATATTTCAATGGTAATTAATATGGAAAGAAGGTTTAGATGGCAAATATATGTGATGGCTATTGGCTTAACATGCCACACAAGATTTCTTTGTAAGTGGATTTAATCCCTTGGCGCTTAGATTTTAAGCATGCCAGTCCCATATGGTAAGACTACACATTGTGCGTAATCACCCAATAACCGTTCCAAACCCCGACCTTTAGGTGGTAAAAAAATAGCAAATCAACCAGAAGTCTTCTCAAACTAATGTGGAGGGTTTGGATTAAATTGTAATTGACATTTAAAGGTTCTTAAGTGACAAAATAAAAGGGAAAATGGCAGTTGGCTAATTGATAAGATATGAAGAATAGATAACTGGCTGAATGGTATTTCCTTTTATGTGGGCCCTCCACCCCATCATAAATATTGATCCTATGGCCTAATTAGTGGAGACCAATTAGATCTTAGTATGATGTCCCCATTAATAGACATGTCGATGATCAATTAGGGGTGATAAAAGAAAATCACGTTAGTAGATGGAGGATCTAGTGGAACCCATTTAATGGAGGTTAATGTGCAAWAATGCCTAATTGACGATCAGGTAGGAGAATATTAAGGTTGGCCAGCAAATCTATTGAAGATCATTAATGACATTCCCTTTTATAACATGGATTTCAAAATTGAAATGGGGCGGGCTTTTCAAACCTAGCCATCCACTATAAAATGCAAAGGAGAGCAAGGAGATTCCCTCTCTAAGAGGTGACCGGGGGGAAAAAGGAGAGGAGGAGCTTTTAATAATATCATTGCATTTTTTTTAATTTAAATTTAATTTTTTAAGTTTAAATCTCTTAAATCGATTGACCAAACCAAAAACTGATCCAAATCGATACTAGTGTTTTTAACTCGTTATTGACTCGACTGGTTGAACCATTCGAACTATCACTCATCCTTGATTCCAAGTCTGGTTTCTATTGAAACCTGCCATTCAGTCAAAAACCGCTTGACCTGGATGGTTTAACTGTTGACCCGTTCGACCTAGTCACTGAGTTGAGGGTTGCACATCTAATGTATGTGCAAATTTCAAAAGCCATAACTTTGCACTCCAATGTCCCAAGGTGTTGTTGATCCCTTGCCATGCTATATTCGCAAATAAACACATGTTTCACATCAAATCACAATTTTTTATATTTTATAAATAAAAAATAAAAAATTGAATTAAAAACTTAAATAAAATATAAAAATAATACATATATTATATGTAAAACATAATTGTACACGATTTATTGATAAAATATGCATTTGCACACACACATATATACATATATACACATTACATATGCATATAAATATATTTATTTAAATATATAGAGTGCTGACATGTAACAATCTATCTCGTTCGACCCGAATGGTTACACCAGTGACTCGTGACCTAGATGCATAAGTGGGTTGGTCTTTAGGCCAATTTTTAAAATATTGAGTGAAACAACTTGAATTCGCTAGTTTTCACTAATGGTCGGTTAGTTTCGAGTTATCAACTCCCTAACCCGACTAGACCAGTAAACAATCTGTGATCAAACCAAACTGGACCTACTAGTGTATACTCCTAATTTTAGCTAAATTAATAGACTAATCTCTAACAAATAACAATTGCTTAATATCTAATAATTATTGAAAATTTATAATGAAAATACACAATTATTGAAAATAAATTTATAACAAAAATACAATAAATAACTAATAAAAAACTTCAATACCTCTAAGTTATTTAATCTATTATTTAATATTACAATAATATTTATTTATTTTTAATTATTTATATGTTATATTCTTATTATCAAATATTATTAAATCTATTATAATTAAATTTGTGTTTTTGATAAAATTTTTAAAGTTATTACATAATTTTGTTATTTAATCTATTTTTATTTTTTTAAATAATGTTGAAAATATGATTTAGTTTTAATTTTTTATATTTAAAAATGGTTATTCACAATATTATTTATATATTTTTTAAATTATTTATATTTTACATTATTTTTATCAAATATTATTAAATATATTATAATTATTTTTTGTGTTTTATGAATTTTTCTAAAGTTATTACATAATTTTGTTATTTAATACATTTTTTTGTTTTTAAATAATATTTAAAATATGATTTAGCTTTTCAATCTTTTGTTATTTAAAATATTTAAAAAATATTTTTTCTTAATATTATTTAGTTATTTAAATAATCCATAAAATTATATTATTTAGCTATTTAATTTTTAAAACATTATTGTTATTAAATTGAATAATTTGTAAAATTATAATTTATATTGTTATTACATATTTTCATTATGAATTTCAAAAAAAAAGATTATTAATAATATGAATATTATGAAATCTATTGTAATTATTTTTGTTTTCTTAATAATTATTTTAAAAGTATTACATGATTTTGTTATAATTTTGAAATAATTATTAACTTTTTTAATTTGAACTTTTCTTAAATAGATACAGAGGAAAAGTGGGTGGGAGTATAAATAGGAATTAGAGATAAATTAGAAGAGAAACTATTTATTAAATTAGAAGTTATTTATGAGATAAATAGGAATTAAAGATAATTTTAGAAAAAGTGGGGGATAGTGATCTGAACAAATTAGAAGGATTGGCTTTACAAATGAYTCTCATATATTTACTAAAAATTATATACTCACTATAACTATATGTGTTTTATTAGTTTCTTAATAAAAAAGAGAGAAAAAAGGGAAATAAAGCACGCTAAATGGTAATTTGATGGGCTTTTAAAGAGAATCTTACACCCCCTCTAGACTTGCTAGGTTTATGATAATGGATTAAGAAGAGACCACCTTATTTTAATATATAGTAAAATAATAATAAAGGGAATTAAATGAGAAGAAATATAGTAATTTAAATTATATTTTATGCTTTTACAAATACCAAATTAAATATAAGAATTAATAAGAAAGATTATAATGAGATGGTAGTTACTCAAATTAAAATGTGAGACCAAATTTAAAATTAGAATATTTTAGTCAAAGAAAATTCATCTCTCTCATCCACACTTTTCACCAAAATGGGAGCGATAGCGCAAGAGACATCCAAGACACCATAAAATTTGGCGGGTTTAACTACCCATTGCCTCGTTGACGTTGGGAAGTCTTCTTCTGTCCTCGCCAGTCGCCACCCAATTAAAATAGAAAAAGCGATGATCGGAGATCGGAGGAGTTGGAGACTTTGGAGGAAGGAAGGAGGAGCGTTAACCCAAACGCATTTAACGGCCATTTCGTTCTTTCTGGAGGATGATGATGGGGTGGAAGCACTTCAGTCGACGCACACGAAGAAACCCATTTTCAGCTTTTTTGACGTAGAAGACCATGATCAACAATTCCACGCAACAAATACGCGAAAAATATTACAACCAAAATAGACAAGAGAGAATCCTTGTTATTCTTCTTTATTTTCTTATTCTCTGTGAACTGGCCTTACTCTAACCAGAACCCGATCTGGGTCCCCTGTAAATGTTAAACATTCTCTTTCATCGTTCTATCTGTTAAGGGGGTCCAGCTCGCGTGTGCTGGTAGATAATTTTGCCTAAAGACTTGAGTCTGGTCTGTTTTTGAAGATACGTTTCGGTGATACTCGCGCCGGTTAGGGTTCATTTTTTTTTTTGATTTCATTGAATAAGTTTTCGATTCGTTATGTGGAGCGTCGGAACTCCTACTGACTCCTTTTATGAAGTTCGGGCTGAATGCACCGATGATGTTCCAAAGACTCGGTTCAAGATAAAGGTTCAATTTTTTCTTTTCTTTTCTTTTGCATTTCTGTAATTTTATATCCTTTTGAATGTTGAAGCACGCATGTTGATTTTGATTGCTTCGGACGTTTCTTTACTGGTATTGATCAGTGCATATTTGAGTTATTATTTAGATTTTAATTTTCTTCAGAAAACTTGTGCATTTCCGATGTATTTTTGTCTCTCGTTGTTGCTGACGAAAGATATTGGTTCACTTATGATGTTTGTTACTTTTTCCTGGTTGCCTTGATGCAAATTTGTTCAATTGTTTTAACTTGATTTCGAAGTTATTCTTTTGGACCAAGGGGAATTTATGAAAATCTAATGTAATTTACAGATTGAAAGCGGGTTCTGTTTGGCAGTTAACGATTACATTCCACAGCCACCTATTCAGATTCTGTGCCGATCGTGGATTCTCCCTGAGCTTTGACATAAAGTTTGTTTGTAATGGAATTTAGACCTTTGACATGGAACCTGACATCGCAAATTAAAATACATTAAATGCGGTGGAATTTGCGTATGTAGAGAACTTGGGGTGTGAGTTACAGAATGAGGATTGCTTTAGGTTTGGCATCTCCATATATTGCTAGACAGACTCCATAGCTAAGAAACAAAAATGAATGAAAAGAAAGAAACTGGATGCATCCACATCCCTGAGCTTAGCTGTGACAGTGTAACTGTAAGTTCTGAAAGAGAGATTACCTTATCCCATCCATAGCTATAGGTTCTAATTAGGAACTAACTCTGACAATTTGACCTAGTGCTCAATCTAGAAGTGCAAAGAGACATTTACATCTCAAAACAATCACGATTCTGTTTTTACTAATGATCCAGGAACAGCTTTGAGCTTGGATATGTTCTCTAAATGCTTGCTGGATCTTCCACTTCCTTGCACTTTAAAAGCATCTTCTACCTTTTTAAAGCCCAAAAAGCATTCAAATCAATTAAAGGTTCATTTTTGACACGATGAGGTACTTTCAGTACTAGTTTATAAGGAACGTCAATCATACACATAGGTACTTTCAGTACTAGTTTACAAATTACAAGGAACTTGAAGCACACACATAGGTACTTTCAGTACTAGGCAACATAGTTCAGTTAATAATTTAGAAAGCTTGCTATGTAGAAGTCAGTTTGAACTGTAGTCATTATAAGCTTTGAAAAAACAACATGCTGCTAATGTGAAGATAGTTTTTTCTCCTTTAGCTAGCGGTGAGGTACTTTCAGTACTAGTTTATAAGGAACGTCAATTATACACATAGGTACTTTCAGTACTAGTTTCCAAATTACAAGGAACTTGAAGCACACACATAGGTACTTTCAGTACTAGAAGGCAACATAGTTCAGTTAATAATTTAGAAAGCTTGCTATGTAGAAGTCAGTTTGAACTGTAGTCATTATAAGCTTTGAAAAAACAACATGCTGCTAATGTGAAGATAGTTTTTTCTCCTTTAGCTAGCGGTAAATTTGCTAATAAATCATTGTTTAAGTGRACTACAACTATAGGACAATTGGGTTTAATTGCTTCTTGTTTAATCTACTAGGATCCGATTATATGCATATATAAAATACTATTTTTAGCACTAAAATTTTTTAGAATTGCATTGGATTTGGGATGAGGTGAACCTATTTTTCATATTTATGGCATATATTTTTGTTTTATATTTAATTTTATAAGTTTAAGCTAATTTTATATAAAATTTATTGATGTTTTGATCAAATCAGATTTCCAGATATATAAATGAACGAAATTTGAAGTTATATTTACATATCCATAGGATGTTAGATTGAATTTGAAACTCTCAAATTCTTTTAAGTTTTAGATTTTAATATACCCGTTTGAATTTGGCCTGGATTTTTTTTTTCATTAACTAATTTTGGTCCAGATTGTCTACTCTGTTTGTGGCTCTGTAAATACAAATGTGTAGTTATGAAAATTAATTAGGAAAAATGATGTGATATTTTGAATTTTCACATAAGGTCAGCATATCCATGTTTAATTAGGGGAGGGGGCACAAGGAAGTGTACGAGGAAAGATGTGCCAATGGTCCAGCTTTTTATTGTATTGAATGATAGAATAGAAAATTTTGTAGAAAAATCAATTATATTAAAGCATTGATACTTATTTTACATGGTTTTATTTTAAAATTTGAGATTAAGAATTTAATTGGCAAGGAAATGCAGTGATAATTTATATTCCACAAAAAGATAAAAGAATTAGACAAAACTTATTCAATCTAAAAGTATATTGTAATATTAATACAATTAAGTTTGGAAAAAAAAAATAGGTCTCTTAATTGGTGGCTTCATATTTGATGTACAGATACAAGGAAATCTAATTTGAAACAGCCTCTCTGTATGTACATAGTTAAGGCTTCATACATCTATCCCTCCCCAGACCCTGCATTGGCAGGAGCCTTGTGCACTAGGCTGCACTATACAAGGCAAACTAAGAAACAGACATGTTAGGCTGGTGAAAAAGTAGGACCCATAAGGGGGGGGGAGGGGGATATCCAGGTACCACTCCTGTGTTTTGGCTTAATAAAAAAGCAATCACTGGCAGAGGTAGGAAAAGAACAAATAAACAAGGATATTATTGGAACTTGAAAGTTTGAGCATGGACGAAAATAGGGGGAGTGAAACTGCCTCTTTTATTATAGGTTATAGAAATTATCTTAAGCTGCATTTAGTGTAACCACAGAATGCATGCATAAAAAAGTTTGAAAATTTTCACTTCATGGAAGAAGTGGGATCTCATAATAAGGTTTCAAATTCAATTAATAGAAAGTAGGTTCTGGTAATAATGTAATACTCAATTTAGATGGTGTGACATGATGGTTGAAGTTACTTACCAACTTCTTCTGGGAAAAGTTTCTCTTCCACTTCCCTAACTGGCATCTAAAAGGTAACTTATTACTAACTGGTGCCTACTCCCCCATACCAACTCCCCCCCTCCTCAACAAAAAAGAAGAAGATGCATCCTACACATACCAACATGTAATGCTTATTTTTCCTTTCTTATATTATCCAAAAAATGAAGATGCATGGGTTAACAATTCATATACATACCATTTAGTATCATGGGGATCTATTTATGTATCAAAAGGCCATTACCTAATTTTGGCCTCAGCTATCTGGAGTTTTGGGAGGGCTGGACTGGATATGGACCTAACCTTTGGCCATTTTATCACAAAGGGGTTGCTCTCAGAATCAAACCCACACTTGTTAGCCCAAGATTTTTCCATTACACAAAACAATGGCCTGGGGGTTATTGATGTATGTGCAGATTTTGGTGGGAGGCTCTCTCTCCCCTTTTAATGAATATATTTTACCATTTATAAAAATAAGGGTCCATTCGTTCGTAGTTGGAATCGGAATCAAAATGGTCTATTCCCATAGTCTGTTTGGTTCAGACAGGAATCAGAATTGGAATTGAAATAAGCTGGAATGGGATTTCATTCCCAAGGGAGGGGAAGGGAATGGCCATTCCAGCAGGAACGGAAATAGGATTCCAATTCTGCCCAACCAAACAGTTGGAATCGGAATGGTCCATTCCGATTCCAGACCCCTATTCCTGCAATCCAAACGGGCCCCAAGTTATTTTGATCTGTATACTCTACTGTGGTTTTGTGCTTGTACATAAATTCCTTCCAACATCTAAACTTTCCTGTTTTGTTCTGTTTGTTTAGGGTGGGAAAACTCTAAGTGAAAGGAGATGGCATGCTGCATTTTCTCCAGAAGGTCATCTGGATATTTCAAAGACACTTAGCAGAATCTATCGTGGGGTATATCAAATCTACTCTTTAAGCTCTCAAGAAAAGCTGAGCTGTTTAGTAATACACAACACTATAAGAAAACCGACATGCTTCATAGCATAATTTTCTACATGCATATCTAACTATTTATGACATTTTGACAGTCTTGCTTTCAAGTAGTTGTTTGTTCTCTATGAGTTATTCAAATAGGTCACTTTGCCAAACCAAGTTTTTAAGAAGAAGCTGCAAATTTTAATGAATCATCTAAGTTTCTTATAATGTAATTGCCTAAGAAGAAATTTCCCTTTTGATTTAGTAGAAGATCAAGACTGTAATCAGTCTTGAATCCTAATAGATTTTAAGTTTACAAAAGTAGAAGAAAAGTGAGAGAAAGGAGAAGGAAGAGAAGAGAAACAGGAGAACACAAGGAGTTGAAAGGAGGGACAGATTCTAACACCTCTTCCGCCGCCACTCTCTTAGCATTTATAGGTTATGTTCAGTACATAATGGAAAGGACAGATCTGCCCTTTGTACTTGCATGATAAATAAAGTAAATAAAAACTGAAATAAATAATAACTGAATTAACAAACTGACCCAAACTGACACTACTATAACTGAAAACAAATAACTACACATGCTGTCCTACGAACACAGTGGGGACCACTGATGTGGGGCCCACATCAGTGTTCTCTACAGATTTGAAAAGGGCATTGACAGAGGCCATAAATTGGGCTGAACAAATTTATTTCCCTGAGATGGTTCCCATGAAGGATCATGGAAATATCATCGTTATATTGCAGAATTTTTTATTGGAGACTTTGATTTTTCTTCTTCTTCATCTTTTTCTTTTTTCATTTTATATATTTATGTTATCATATCCTCCGAGTTATTTCACACCTTCCTCCCACTTTATGGATATTCAACCTCGTCGCTATTGTTTATTTCTTTCAAAATTGGTAAACTATTCTCCTGTTTCTTTCCCCCCTTTTCTGTAGAGAAAGGGATAAGAAGATTATGCAGGCATGGAAACAAGGGAAAGTCCAGAAACCAAGATTCTTCACATTCTTGAACCAGTGGAATTTCACAATTTCAGGGTAATTTGGATTTTATTATTGTTAATATTTTTCAAATTTACTTTCTAGTTTGTTGGTGTCTTAAGAATTGAGTATTTGAGTTCAAAGGGTCAATTTTTGTTTACAGTCTTATTAGAGAGTTTTTAGAATTTTGAAGGATTGAAGATGAAATCACATCATTTGTTTTAGCCTATTTTTCAGGGGTCAAAACTAGTCCATTTTGCATGATTTAGTGTTATTAAATAGGTAATTGAGTTGTTTGTCCAATGAGACCAAGGTCTCGTAAATGAGTTATGGCCATTTTACTGATGGGATTTGAGTCTTTCTATTTTTTTGGGTCTCTCTTGGGAGTTGCCTTTGGTCAGTATAACAGCTTTTATGAGAATAACAACAAGTTGATCATTTGTATTCTCAAATGGTATATAGACCTCTTCCAAGCAACTTTTCTCTAATAAAATATGTGTCCACATCTATATGTTTTGTTTGTCATGTTATACCCGGTTGTGATCTCAGTCTTGTTATCATATATAAGTTTATAGGTTCTTCTACAGAATTTCCCAGCTCATGCAATATATTCCTTATTTAGAGAAGTTCACAAGCTCCCTGTACCATAGCCCTATATTCAGCATATGCATTCGACTGAGCTACTATTAGCTGTCTTTTATTTCTCCAGGTAACCAAGTTATTCTTAACAAACACACAATATCAAGAAATCAGTATATTTTTAGTGGCTAGATCAGCCTAATAAGCATCCATATAAGCCTCCACCTTCATATGCTCATTTCTTTTAAACATTCCCTTATTAGGTGTGCCTTTAAGACAACAAACTAATTTGTATGTCCTATTTTTGGTGTAATTTAATAAACTAATATTATATTAATTTGGTAATAATTTAATAAATTAATAAACTAATTTGTCTTTCTTGAATAGTAAATTAATAGTTGATAATAATTTAATAAATAAATATGTATTATATATAGCTAATGTATATTTTTATTATATGTAATAGTATTGGGTCGGGCTTATTTGAGAAAGCTTGAGCCCGTGGGCCTGAAATTTTGTCCAAGACTGAAAATAATGGGCCAGGTTGGGCTACCCGACCCATGAGAGATTATAGTATGAGAGCTTATTATAGTAACAACTGGAAAAATAAGATTTAACAATTATGAGAGATTATAGTATTGTTGCATGGAAACGCCACCTTTGGAGGGGATTTGTGAGCCAATGTGTTGTTAGAGTCAAGTCGAGAGTTCAGAAAGAGACAACAAATTTGGTGGGTGTGACACAATGTTTCAGTTGACACCCTAAAAGATATATTTATAATAAAAAGGTAAAAGGACAAGTTTGCCCTTAGTGTACAAAACAAACAGTACAAAGAATAGTTATACAACAAAGAAGAGTAAAAATACAAAAATAGCCCTATGGCTAGATCTCACAGTCTCTACACTCACCCTCAAATTGATACCTAGGAATAAGCATCAATTTGTCCATGAGAAATAGATGCTGAGTCTGAGTCATTGCTTTAGTCAACTGGTCTGCTAGTTGGAGCTCGAAGGAGACATGAGGAAGAGATATGGTACCCTCAAGAAGGAGATCGTGGATGAATCAATCAACTTCTATGTGTTTGGTGCGCTCATGGAAGACGGGGTTGGAAGCAATTTATTTGCATAGAGAGGAACAAACGGTAATGGCTCATTAAGTATTTCAAATAGAAGAGCTCGAAGCCATATGATCTCACTACACATGAAAGACATAGCCATGTATTTAGCTTCAGTGGAAGACTTGGACATAGTAGATTGTTTCTTGCACTTCCATGAGATAAGAGAGTTGCCTAAGAATAGACACCGGCCAGTAGTGGACCGTCGGGTGCGAGGGCATCCAGCCTAATCAGCATCCGCATAAGCCATAAGATTAATAGGGGATGAGGAAGAGAAGAATATCATCTGTGAAAGGGTGCTTCGCTCATATCTAATGATCCGATGAACTACAGATAAATGTGGTTGTCTTGGGGAAGACACAAACATGCTTACTATCTGAACTACATAAGATATATCCTAGCCGAGTCATGGTGAGATAGATTAAACTGCCCACTAGTTGATGATAAAGGGTAGGATCTTCAAGAAGAGAACCATCATCTTTGCTGAGTTTCAAATTCAGTTCTAGTGGGGTGTCCACAATCTTAGAGTCATTAAGATTTGCTAGTTTAACAAGATTAGTCGCATACTTTTGTTGGTTAACAAAGTAGCCCCGAGAGTTTCTGCTCACTTCAAGTCCCAAGAAATATGTCAGGCCCCAAGTCCTTCATCTTAAAAGACTCACTGAGTAACTGTTGTAGCCTAGCAATTCTTTCTGTATCATCCACTGTAACGAGTATATCATCAACATAGAGGAGTAATACCGTTACTCCTTGCTTTCGCCTTAAGATGAATAAAGAATAATTGAAAGAACTCTGGATAAAGCCAGCATCAGTGATGACGGATCTAAACTTCTCAAACCAGCCCCCAGGAGCTTGCTTCAGGCCATAAAGTGACTTCTTCAGACGACAAACAAGTTGCGTGTCTGTACAATATCCCAGAGGGGGCTTCATATAGATTGTCTCTTTCAACTCCCCATGCAGAAAAGCATTCTTGATGTCCATCTGATGGATTGCCCACTATTTGGCTGTAGATACATCCATCAGAAGTCGTACAATGGTCATTTTAGCTACAGGAGTAAAGGTCTCCTCATAGTCTATCCCATATTCCTATTTATAGCCTTGTGCAACCAACCTAGCTTTGTATCTATCTAGGCTTCCATCAGATTTTAGTTTCACAGATTAGACCCATCGACTTTCTATGAGAGATGTCTTTGGTGGAGCTTTGACCAGGTCCCGGGTGTCATTCTCAAGAAGGGCTCAAATCTTAGAATCCATGGCATCTTTCCAATGTGGTTCTGCTACAGCCTATTGGTAAGATCTGGCAATGTCTATGGTAGATAAAACAACGGAAAAGGAGCTATGGTCTGGTGAAAAGCCATAATAGTTAGGTGGGCAAGAAATTCTAGAGGAACGATGTAAAGCGAGAGTAGTGGGTTTAGGAGGAAGGTCAGATATACTTATTGAGGCAGCTGGAGTGACTAGATCAGCAACTAGTGGCGGAGTAGAGGGGGGCATTGAGACTGAAGAAGGCCATTGCTTCCTGGAGTAAGTCTGAAGTTGTTGCAGAGGTGACAATGGACTGTCTGAGGTACCTGTAGAATCAAAACTGTGCAACAAGGAAATAGAAGGAGCTGGGAATTTTACTATATGTTCAAAAAAGGACACACTTTCAAGAAAAACTATATTATGAGAGATTCTAAGACGACGAGCTAAAGGATCATAGAAAATGAACCCTTTATGTTCAGAACTATACCCCATAAAGGCACACAAAGCTACTTGTGTAGTTAACTTTGTGCATTCATGAGGTGAAAGGTGGACAAAACAAGCACAACAAAAATCCTTGAGCATGGATAAGTCTAGGGGTTTGTGAAAGAGAGATTGAAAATGAGAAGAGTTATTCAAAACAGATGATGGAAGACGATTTATGAGATACACAACAGTGCTGGTTGCCTCCACCCAAAACCAAGAGGGTGCATGGGAATCTTGTAGAAGTGTTCTGACTACACTCAAGATATGCCCATTCTTCCTTTCTAATACCCCGTTTTGTTGTGGGGTGCCTGGATAGGATTTTTGGGGTTGAATTCCATGTTTTAAATAATTTTGGAAATCTCCATCAATATACTCTCCGCTTGAATCCAATCATAGCACACAAATTTGAGCATCAAATTGGGTAGTAACATAGGTGTGAAAGTGTTTAAATACAATGTACACTTCAGATTTCTTTTGAAGAAAATAAGCCCAAGTGAAACGAGTGCAGTCATCAATAAAGATTACAAAGTACTTACATCCCAATTGTGAGACAACTGAAGATGACCAGACA